CCTCTTGTTTATAACGAGTAACAGAAAAATGGCAGCTAATAGATTCCTTTGTTGAAGATTAATTGTGTTAACAACAATCACCAAATAAAATTGTTGCAAAGTTGTGATATTTAACTTAATAAAAAATGTTCCTGTTGATCTTGTGTTTTGGACACAAATTTCAGGGCAAATAATCTTGAGCCATTGAGATATTTAGAAAGTAACACTTAAAAAATACTGAAACTCGTTAATAGTAGAGATACTAAGATGATCAGAGGGCTGGAGCACCTCTCCTATGAGAAAAGGTTGAGAGAACTGGGCTTGTTTAGCTTGGAAAACAAAAGGTTCCCAGGAGACCTCATTGCAGCCTTGCAGTACTTGAAGGGAGCACATAAACAGGAGGGGCAAGGACTGTTTATGAGGATGGATAGTGATAGGACAAGGGGGGTGGTTTTAAACTGAGACAGGGGAGGTTTAGTGAGATATCAGGAGGAAGTTTTTCATGCAGAGAGTGACGGCACGCTGGCACAAGTTGCCCAAGGAGGTTGTGGTGTGTGCTCCTTGATGCTGTTGTGAGTCAGGTGTTTTCAAGTGCTGTATGATGCCATTATAGTAGTGAGGATAAACTGCCAGTAATGTCTCTTGTTCAAAACTTTTCAGTGTTGGAAAATATAAAACATATTAATTCCCAGACAGGTATAAGAATCTTCCAACGGCTTCCAGAAAACTGCAGTTCCTGGGGCTACAGAAGGAGTTGGTTGATGATTTTAGGATACGATTAACTCAAGTAATGAAGGAAGAGAGTAGAGATTCTTTAGGCTTCCGATACTGTGCGATCCTCAATGCTGTTAACTACATAGCAACTGTGCTGGCAGACTGGGCTGACAATGTAGTAAGTAATTATTTAAAATGTTCAATAGTTTTCTTTATGTCATAATAAAACATTTTATTTTCAGTGTTATTTAAATGTATTCAGAACAACTAATTATGGAAAAAATATAACTAGATATGAATTCAGGTTGAATAAAAAAGATATTGGTAGATTACTGTCTGATGCTTAAGCTTTATTAACAATAAAGTTGGTAGAGATATGCAGAGAGAACCTGAGGAATGGAATGGTTTGAGCAGCCAAAAAGGTTGTTGCTTTATGTGCTCCACATTGTAAAAGCAAGCAAGTTGATTTTGGAGATCTGAGCCAGTGTGCTGCTGGTTGAAGTGCATGGAGAGCAGTAGCATGCACACGTTTCTTGAGCTCCTGTGCTAAGTTAGCTTAAATGATTTGGTTTGGGTACCTGCATTACAGCTCAGACCATATGTGCAGAAACACCACTCATTGATAACTGGTTATGGGGTGTGGGTTATTGTGCTGTATAACAGCCTGCTGACGACTCAGCTGTTCTGTGACTGCTGCGGTACGCGGTCATACAACTGCCACGTGTAGAAGATGTGCAGTAGGCACTGTGTGTGGGACAGGCAGCCAGCAGGTTCTTTTTACCTTCACAGGGAACTGTGGCTCTAGGAAGTCATGATTTGAGGGGAGAGCAGCCTTCATGTTACGTAGCTGCATCTGCAGAAACATCTTGATGTTCTTAGAGGCAACATGGAGATCATTACTGCTGTCATGTTAAACTCAATCCATTTCCTTGCTGTTGTCAGACCAGCAAACTTATGATTTAATGAGACATTAATTCTGAAACAAGTTCTAAATTCTAGTTTATTGTTGCAGATGGGATGGGGTGAGGGCAAGTGATTTTGACTGTTTTAAAGTGTTCTGCTGTCTCAAAGCACCTACTTAGTATTTCTTTGAATCTGTTCCTTTGATCTGTCTGCTGTTGTATTCGAAACCCATGTCGGTTACGCTCTTAGGATTGAAACATGGGGACCATGTGGAAATTGTTTTTATAATCTTAAAATTGTAAGATTATCAAAGTGTCAGAAGAGTGTTTTCTAGAATCCTACCTGCTAAAGTACAGAAGAGAAGTTCAAATAATAAGATTATTTTTGGTAGTACTTACATCTGATTGTCTTTCTCTAGTTCTTCTTGCAGCTACAGCAGGCTGAACTGGAGGTTTGTGCAGAAAGCGATGCTGTCAGCCAGCTGCAGCTGGGGCAGCTGGCTTCAATGGAGAGTTCTGTCTTTGATGAAATGATCAACCTCCTGGAACGCCTGAAACACGATATGTTGAGTCGCCAAGTGTACCACGTCTTCAGGGAGGTCACAGATGCTGCAAAGCTGTACAAAAAAGAGAGGTGATTCTATCTGCTCATTCTCTTCTCACATTGCAGTCGTTTTTTTCTGGTAAAAACACTGGGGCAAGTAAAGGCAAGAAAAGAAAAATAAGAAATTCAGCTTTCTGAATAGGAAGGGCTCAGAGTAGTAAGCATTTGAAGAGTTTTTTTACACTTACCTCAAGCCTACTTATTGTTATGTTTTCTAAAGCACTTCTGCAATAAGTGGGCACGTTACCTTAAAAAAACAAGGAAGAATTCTGGGTAAATACAGTTTAGATGAGAATTGTTCTCCTCAAAGTAGTATTAAAAGTGGCATGTAGTGACCAGTTCTGTCTTCACAGAATCACAAGGGTTCTTGGCTGGTTGACGATGAGATCCTAAAATACTTCACTAAACAAATACAACAGCTCAGCGATTACTTTTAGCTTTGAAGTGGAAAGGGAGAAAACTGTGCACCGTTGAGAACAGCTAAGATTTGTTTAAGTGATATTTTAACTTCAGCTATTGTAATACGAATAATTTCACTGTAGTGACGTCAGTGATGATTTCTTTCAGGTGGTTGTCTTTACCATCTCAGGCAGAGCAGGCAGTAATGTCTTTGTCAAGCACAGCTTGCCCAATGTTGTTGACTCTACGAGACCGCTTGCTACAACTGGAACAGCAGCTCTGTCACTCTCTGTTTAAAATATTCTGGCAAATGCTTGCAGAGAAAGTGGACACTTACATATATCAGGAGGTGGGTGTGCACCAAATACACGCGGCACAGCGTAAGGGTTGGTGGCTGGCCTAAACAGAAGATGCACCCCTTTCTGTTGGCAGATAATTATGGCAAATCATTTCAATGAAGGAGGAGCAGCACAGCTTCAGTTTGACATGACCAGAAACCTTTTTCCTTTGTTTTCACACTACTGTAAGAGGCCGGAAAATTACTTCAAGCAGTAAGTAGGAAGTCTCATCAGTCAGTATTTCAGAAAAGAGTGTCCAGATGTATGTGTTTTACATATCAGGAATCTTTTCATAGTTTGAGAGGGGAAGAAAGACTTAAAATATGTGGATCATCGGGGACCTCTTGGGGAGGCACAGTCTTGACATTTATAATAGCAAATACTTAGCAAAAATAAATATGCTATTTCATAGAATGAATCATAGAATCATAGAGTGGCCTAGGTTGAAAAGGACCACAATGCTCATCCAGTTTCAACCCCCTGCTGTGTGCAGGGTCACCAGCCACCAGACCAGGCTGCCCAGAGCCACATCCAGCCTGGCCTTGAATGCCTCCAGGGATGGGGCATCCACAACCTCCTTGGGCAACCTGTTACAGTGTGTCACCACCGTCTGTGTGAAAAACCTCCTCCTTAATATCTCACCTAAATCTCCTCTGTCTCAGTTTAAAACCATTCCCCCTTGTTCTGTCATAATCCACCCTCATGTTTGTCATGCTATAAGCAGTAGTTTCCAGTTCAGTACTTCTGATCCTTTTCAGAAGTCAGTGGGAACTTTTTTTTTCTTAGTTGCTGGGCATACAAAATTGAGTATCCCATGGTTGCTTCTTTTATTAATCCATATGTACCTTTTTTTCCCTCATGTAGCATCAAAGAGGCCTGCATTATCCTGAATCTGAATATTGGTTCTGCCTTGCTTCTGAAGGAGGTACTGCAGTCAGCCTCAGAAAGCGAAGCGCCATTGCAGCCAAACCAGCCATCAGCAACAGCAGCGTTAAATGAACTGGGAGTTTACAAATTAGCACAACAGGATGTTGAGATTCTTCTCAATTTGAGAGCTATTTGGCCAAGTATGGGCAAATAAAGACTTTTTTCAGAAGTGGTTAAAACTTAATCTAGATCACTTGTTTAAAAAAAAAAATAAGCAGAAAGCTGTGTCATTGGTTTGATATAATCTTACTTTTTATTATATACAGTTCCAAAAAAAAACCTTTAAGATGCTATGGTGCTGACTTGTAACTGCACAGATCTTTCTTTTCCAGCACTACTTTGTCTTGACATTTAGAAGCTCACAGGTTCTTCATTACTAATGAATGTGTTACATGTTTTCGGATGGCCTGCCTTGTTGCTTTGGCATGCTGTCACACTGCTATAATGACTTCAGAGCTGGTGCATGTATGCACGTGCAGCTGTGTGCAGTATGGACAGCTGGCATGCTCTCACCTAAGTGCAGATGTTTTCCACTTCTCAATCCCTGGTGTAATGGGTGTTCTGTATTAAAATGTGCACAGCGAGTCTCAGCATGGAATGAAGGAATATATCATTTTTATTTATCAATACTATTTCAAAATTCAATTTTTTTTTCCTTTTTGTTTTTTTTTTTTCTGTCCCCAAGTGGCCTCTGTTTTTTGAGTAGGACTTCCTTTATTCATGGCCTTATTTAAAAGCTGTGATCGTTGGCAATGCTGTATTTCTCCAAACATGAACATTTTGAAGTTGCTGAAGCTGATGATGTTTTTCGTACCAGCACTGTGAGGCCACAGTTGAAGGAGGAAATGCCAAAACACTTATTTTTGATTTGTAAACGGGGTTTCTACTTATTCAGGCAATCTTATTATCTTACTTAATGCATTTCTAGTGCCTGGTAAGCACAAACATGTCTTTGTCATTTGTTCTCTCAGCCGACAGCTAAAATGGATGGGGGGAAAATAAATGCACTGCTTAAACTTGTCTTGACCCACCAGTAACTGGATGGAGCAAAATACCGATTTCTAATATACAGAGCAGACCACTCTTAAATCACTCCACAGTCCAGCCTTCCAGCAACGTTTTCATCCTAGGACAGAAGAGAACATCCGGTTAGGTAAGTGAGGACAACTGCTTTGTTTTCTTGCAGTGGCTGTAAGTTACCAAACAACGTCCCTCGAAGCACGCCGTGAGCATCAGCAATGAGCGCAAGTTGGAGCTCGCTTCATTGCTGCGTGACCGCCCCTGCCGCGTTACAACGGTCAGCTTTGCTTGAGCGCGCTGTTTCTATAGCAGCGATTTGCTCCCTGTGGCGCCGGGCAGCCTGCTCTGGTACCGGAGCTGGAGCCTGTGCCGGGGGGTTGGAACTCAGGAGCCATTCTATGCTGCTACGATCTGCAGGGTTGCCCGATGCTGCCCGGTTTGTGGGGGGGAAATGGGGTAGGGCTGCTTTACAGGGATCCCGAAAGCTCAGCAGCCCGTCCGTGCTCCAGCGTCGACCTTCCTGGGTCTTGCATTGCGAGGGGTAACCTTCAAGGAAACTCCTGCAGGACCCCTGCGGCGGCACTTACATTTCTTCCTTGAACGTGGCCAGCCCGATCTCCTCCTCATCCCCGACGCGCAGCTCTGCGGTGCTCAGCCCCAGCGTCGTAAGAGCTGAGGGAAAGGAAAGGGGTTCCCGAGCAAGTCTTCGGCAGACTGATTTAAGGCAGAACGCGACCGGGATATCGTTAAGAAAAGTGATCGTGTTTAACGTCGCGAAGCGCCGGCCGCGTCGGCACAAGCGCCGATGCCGTCACGGTGTAAGCAGGCAGAGATCTGAAACGTTTTTAGCAAACGCGGGGCCGCGGGACCGACCTGCTCGGCACTGCCTGCCCGTGACGAAGCCGCGCCCCGCGGCGTCCAGCATCCTGAACACGGCCTCCACATCCGCCTCGTCCAGCACGGACGGCATCGCCGCCTCGCCGCGCCGCGCCGCTCGCACCGCTTCCAGCGCCTGGAGCAGGAACTGCCGCGGCCGCTCTGCAACGGAGCGAGGCCGGGGCTGCCGCGGGCCCTCCGCGCCCATTCTTCTGCCTCTCCCCGCGCCCGCCCCGAGGGTTTCCTTCCCACCCCCTACAGAACCCCTCTCCCTCCGGAGCGCAGCGATAAACCCGCCGACACCCCGTTTCCCCTCAGCCCGACCCCCGGAGGGCCGCACCGGGCCGGCGGTACAGCAGCAGCGCGGCGAGGCGGTGCAGCAGTGCGGGCAGCCCGTGCCGCTCCAGGTACTCGCGGCTCTGCTGCTCGCCCGCCGCCATGGCGCGTTGCTAGGAGCCCGCGCCGCCACACCGCCGTGGCGCCGCCCCTCACGGTCGTCGCAGACCTCGGAGATGCCTGAGGAGGGCGGGCGAAGCGAGGCGGACCTCGGGGCTGGGAGGGGGCGGAGAATCAGCGCTCGGGGCAGGGAAACTGCGTGTGGTGCGGCACGGCTCTGCTTCAGCGGGCAGCAGCGGAAACCAGCACGGAACACACGTCGAAAAGCTGACGCCTGCAGTGTGCGCGCACAGCAACCGCAGGCTTCAGTCAGCGTGCTTCTGTGAGGAACGGTTCCAAGAATCACCAAGCAAAGCAAACCTCCATAGGAACATACATATATATATATATATATACAGTCATTTCTTTGTTAAGAAGGCACAATTTATTTCCTTGAAAAACGTTCTGCTAACACATGGTGTAGGGCACTTGTCCTCGGTCCACAGCACAGCACCAGCACGTGCTGCACCAGGTGAGCTCTGAGCTCTGCGATGCTCACCGAGAGGAACTGCGCTTCTGCTGATGAAGAAAAATGGGATTTGACAACGCGTCTGAATGATCTCTGGTTTCATCACAGTAATGCTGCTGCTAATTAAGTTTTAATCACAACCGCAAGGATCATTTCTATTTTTGTGTGGTTAATTATTTACAATTGAATTTTGCTGAAAGACTTTTACTTACTAGCTGCTGTGGCAGGAGACGAGCCTCTTGTAGAATACAGCATATAACTTCAGCCTCCTCTCTTTCTATCTCATTGCACCGGACTGCATAGCCTACCAACAGTCCTGAAGAGTGACAGGAGGAGGAGCAGGGCCTGCAGGCAGCCGTGCTGCCAGCTGTAGTCAGTCTTCTACCCTCCGAGTTGGAAAAATGCCCATCTGCCCCTTCTCCCCTGCCAGTCAAATACTGCTGCAGCTGGCAGCACGTTATGTGTTGCTTAGAATTCTTCCTTTCTCCCTTCTGTGGAGAGCTGCTCACAGATCTTTATGCTTCTGCAGGTCAGCCCTAACCACTAAAAAAGGCATCCCTCTGCCCACCCAAAAAAAGGAGAATCCAGCTCACGTAATTTGTGATGCGATACGAAATGAGAACAGGAGAGCATGCGTGCCATCTACCGTGCGTTCTGCAGCTGAAAGTGAAACCAGGGCCTGCTACTGAGTTACCAGCTGCAGCTGCCCTCAGCCTAGGAGATTAAGTTTTAAGAGGCCTGCACTCGTTTGGAGTCATACCTTTCAGGAGGTATTCATGGAGAAAAACAGCAGAGAAAATTGCATGAAATAAACACTGTGTCCAAAAGCTTGAATGCGCTGCATGAATCGCCTCCAAACATTTCTGGAACCAGTAATTGGCGTGGCTTCCAATTGTCAGTCCTGACAGATTTGGACGAGTAAAACAGATACTGGTTGCAGACAGCAATGACTTTCTTCTAGAACAGTTATTTCCCTGGTAAAAACAGAAACCTAAGAACTAGAGTGCAATAAATAAAAAAAGTTCTGGTGTGATTTGCTTACCTCTGAAACTGGTGGCATTCAGAGCGCATTAGATAATAGGAGAATACTGTTGCAAGCAAAATACTTGTTGCATAACCCAAAAGGGTGTGGGAAACCAAACAGAGAACAGCTTGTAAACCAGGACAGCAAAGCTGCAAGCGCTAATAAATGACTCAGTCATATTTGGAAAATAAATGTAGGGCCCTTGACCTCTGCTGGCTGTGACAGATGATGGCAAGCAACCAGTAACTCGTGGCTGCAATAATCTGTTTTCTTGGTTGTAGCCTTGATTCCTAATGCCTGTAAGAAATACCATCTCACAAACACAATGTCTATCTTCAGGCATACATGGAGATCACTCTGTCAGATGAAACTTCAACATGCACTGTGACCAAATGATGTTTGGTTTCTCTACAGCGTACTGAAAAGGTTAAACTCAACACTAAAAAGAAACATCAAAATAAGAGCAGCCCAAACATACTGTGCGGTAAAGAGGAAGTTCAGGATTAGCTTCTGCCACAGGCATCAAGAACAAGCAAGGCATTACACACAACGCTCTTCAGCTGGAAGGTAAAGTCTTCTTCCTACTTTTGTTTCCTGTAAGCCAGGGCAGCTTGCCACCTCTTCTGCCTGTTCTAAATGTATGCAAACACAACCCCAGCTTGTAGTTCGATTTCTTGCTTTCAAGACCATGCTGCAGTGACGTCTCTTTCCTGCAGTATCTGCAAAACTGTTGTTCCTAAGAGGAGAAACACGAAGCGTACGCGTTCCCCAGATCTGCAGAAGAGGTTTGCCGAGAGGAAAACCAGCAATGCTGACAAGGCACCGAACAGTGCAAGTCTCATTTGTAACTGGAGCAGGCTTTCACACAGAACAAGGGTCGTAGCACTTAGAGACAGAAGTTGCATTTTTAGAATTAACAACAGTAAAAAAGACTGGTTACATATTTGCACTGCTCGCTAAGTCAGAATTCCCAAATCCAGCAGCTCTGGTGAGGTTGATTCTTACAGCGACAAGAAGAAAACACATTCAGCTAAGCAGAGGAACTGAAACACGACTGATCAGTATAAAACCCTCAGTCGCTGAGGATACACGTCTGATGTGTAAGCACAGGAATATTTTAGACACGAGTGCCAAAAATAATTCCAGATCAGTTCAGCCCTGCAGAGGGAGCTGGGCACATCTCCAGCACAACCTCTCAGTGCCGGCCATCCATCTGTGCTCTGTACGTCAGCCCCAGGGAGGAGAAGGGGCAGCCCTGCAACACACACCGCTTCTGCTCTGCAAAGACAAATGATGACAGAACTCACCTGTTTCTTACAAACATATAAATTATTTTATTTACAAAGCCATGTTACAAAAAAAAAAAAAAATAATAATAATAATAAAGCAAAAAAACAAAAATACAATCGCTCACTAGAGAATATCTCCAGGCCCGGTGTTGAACCATGGCAGTATCAATCAGATACATGTTTGTTCTGGTTTTCCTTTTTTAAACTGTAAGCCATAGAATTTACTATTTACACCTATTTTAGACATTTATTCCGCTTACAATTATCACAAGCATGGAATGGATTCTATCTGATACTGCTAATACATAAAGGTGCAGGACAAAGAATGAAAATACTTAGTGTTACAAAATATGGATTGTAGAAAAGAAATTGGCTGTACAAGTATGGCATTTCTTTCTTAGAATGATTGGACATGCTTTCTTCAAAAGTCTTCTGGAAAAGGTTCTAAAATCTGTAGTAGGAAAGCACAATATAGCAGGTGCAAATTCATTTCTGTGCAACAACAGTTATTTAATATACCCCATGACTGACCAGCTATGCAAAACCCACAGAGTTTTGTTAAAGTGCCATGGGTCGACAGCATAACAAAATATAAGGTGTAAATAGAAAAATTTCTTTTTTTCTTCTTTTTTTTAAAACAATAGTTCACTGAGAATCAGCAATAATAGAATATGCTGTATAAACTATTCTCTACAAAGGTCGATCAGCACTATTTACAATTGTTACATCGATACAAAAGAAGGCATACAAGTTATCCAAGTCGCTTTTTATGGCTGACGGGCCTATGCATTGCGTATGTCAACAACCAAAGCTTCTGAGCCTCTATTGCTGGAAACAAACCACGAGATTTTCAGGCAAAGGGTAACAAAAAGAACTACCGAGTGAATGCTACACTAATAATGCATTATAGGCTGGTCCAGTTTATATCCATTTTATTCAAATGTTTACTTCCATTTCACTTCTCAGGCTGAAATTTTCAATACTCGTAATTAAATAATGATTACTTGACGATGAAAGACTGTGGGATTTTACTTGGTGCTTCACTTCCCCCAATGTTGCCAGGTGTAAGCCGCATGAAACGGAACAAGTCAGCAGCATTCAGAGGACAGGCTCCATATTGCAGCTTTCCAATCCCAAGAGGCGTGGAAGGAGCTGAAGCCTCTGAGCACCAGCACGGCGCTCCTCCACCCCTGCTGAGCGCTGCTCCTCAGAAGCCACCTCTGCACCTCAGCACCGCTCCTTCCCTCAACAACCAGAAACAGCCGCTCGTTGATTACAGAGGATGATTTGTTACTGAGACTGATAAACTCCTGCGGTTTTATAACTCAAAATAAATTAAAAAAAAAAAAAAAAATCAACATAGTACTGCTCCTAAAACTGAACGAGACCAAAATTGTGCAAAAATAACAAAGATATGTACACATTTTTCAGTCTGAAGAAATGTACAATAAAAACATAATTCAAAGAACATTTTAAAAATATAAACATTGCTTCAACTTTCCTAAGTTTCATACTGTTTCTGAAACTATACGGTCAGTTAGCTCTGAAGTATAGCAAAACATAAATTATTACAAAATTAACACTATAAAAATTTATTTTAAGAATATTTCTAAACTTTTTTTTCCAAAGGGTCTAGCCTTGCTTATAATTGCTTAAACATTTTTAGTCTTAAAATTTACCTTAAGCCTTCTTTTTTTAAAAAAGAAAGTAGTAATAATCTCCCTATTTGCAGTCTCTCGCCTTTCCCCAAGATGTAAATAAACCAGCATATAAGTGCACTTTTAACACTGTAGAAATAAAAATCAACTCCTCCGTACTATTGTTCCAGTACCTAGCATTGGTTTCCTGATTATAAAATCTGTATTTTATTAAAAAATTATTCAGTAATCCTATAAGAAACACTGTCAGTGCAATTCTATTAACGCAAGCCAATCTGCTCAACGCCTGTCCTCGCACACTCAAGCTGTTTACTGAGGTTATCAAGTTCTGTTATCTTAAGGGTCTAGAATTCCTCCCAGGGGATTTCGTGTGTCGAACCTTTGATAACATCCATTACAGTTTGGTGCAGAAATCCTCTGCGCTTCGATCGATCCCGGAAGATGCCGAACACTCAGAGTTCCCACTGAAATCACTAAATGCTGTAGGTAGAGAGCACCAGGCAGGGTTAATCCCTAAGGCTGCAGTGCCCCAGCTGTTTGCGAGTCGCAAAGAAATGCACTCAATATTTATCCGCGGGACAAGCTGAAATACAGAATTACTGTAATTTTTACTCTATGAAACAATTTGGAGATCCTTTAAACAAATTCAAATCGCGGTCTTTTTGATTTCCTTTGTTTTTGGAATGTCCACCGTATTCTGGTAAGGAAACAAAGGGAGCATTGCAACGCTAACAGCTTGAAAAGGCATGAAACATAACCAAGCAGAACGCACAGATCAGTGGCAAATACAAAGTGAAAAACTGAACAAATCACCATTACAGTTTTCTGTAAATTTGATTCTCTTTAAAACCACAAATTCATAAAAGGTTAAATCCATCTGCAGGTCATAGAAAAGAAAAACCCTGTGGAGTAGGGCTGCTGAGAGCTAGAGATTATAGGCTGGTTCCTGTTCCGTGTTATGGAAGAGTCCTTATTCTACCAGTCCGGTTTGATGTCTTCTAGAAGAGAAACCAAGTTCAGATTCAGAAAACATCTTTCGGTACATAATGCTTTAACAACATCTGCATCCGAGAGAACTCAGACCAGGAACTTACTTCACGTCCACCCCTATTTACTGACTACATTACCGACTTCTAAGAACTGCTTTGTGTAAACTGGGCATTTGCTTTTGAGACTATCTGATTTTAGAAAGCTTTAGTGAATCTTACGTTCATTAACTCAGTGTATCAGTAGAAATAAGAACAGCAATCAGACAGTAACTTTGAAGAATCATTCTTTCTGCACAGCACATTTTCATGCCTTAGGAAGCCCCATCCAGCACACACTGGCATCTTCCCTTCATAGAAACAGGTAGGTACACAGTACTTATAAACCACTGCATACTGAGATCTATGATCTACTTAAAAGCACTATGAAGAAAAAAACATTGATTAGTTACAGACCTAGAAGGACAAAATCCAGACAAAACAAGCCTTAAACATACATATAGTATCTACAGGCACAAAGAATTTGACTGTAAAACTATAATTCCATTCACATTTACTAAAAATGATGAAGATTTTGTAAGGAAAAGTAGTGCTTTCTATTACAGCAACAACAGCTGGAAAACCAGGCGCACCTTTATGTACACAAGCTCCTGTTCAGTTCTCAATTAGATGCAAGAAAGTTCAAAGTAAACACAAATTGAGAACAACCCGTGTGAGCTGAACTCACTGAGTTCAGGCCCAGCAGGCATGGAGTGCCACCGGTCCCACACAGCAGCACTGAGAACACCACACCACTTCTGCCTGCTTCCCAGGTCTGCACTCAGGAAGGTCTGCCTGTGTTTTTCCAGCTGTAAAACTCCGTGCAGTAACTGACGTTCTCTCTGCCTACTGACATTGCATCACTTGGACTCTGATTATCGTGGTTACATCAGCACTAATATTAAAAGCAAAAGAGCTCAGGCTCTCTCTCAGGCCCCAACGGTACACTGACTGCCAAAGAATACATTTGCAGATCCACTTATGTTACCTAATTAATAACACTTTTTATAAAGAAGTAGTACAGCTCAGCTTCAGACTAGAATTTTATTTAGAGGCTATTCCTTCACCAGACTGGAGAACCAAAGCTGTCAGCAAAGCAGCTCCGATGCGGCAGTGGGAAGCAATCATGGCTCCAAGCACTAACATCCTGTGTCAGAGTTAACACAGAAAAAAACCCCCAAACAGGAACAATACGTTTCATGAAGCTTAACAGATCCTCATTTTCCTTTGTGTTTGTATTCTGAACTTCGTGCTCAGCTACTAAGCTGCCAGAAATGTATTTTTAACACCAGTCTGCAGAGCTTAGAACAAGCAAACACTTCTATTTTTGATAAAGTCATGGAAACAGGCAGCTGAAAAGCTTACCGGTAGCCTCTGTTTGTATATAGCTGCCACAAAATTAATGTGTTGCCCAGTAAGGTTTTCCCTGCGGGATCCGGGCAACAGATTCCAGCACTGTGCGCCTGGGCAGTGTGCATTTTGTACTCATGCAGGAGCACAGGGCTAAAACAAAACCAGCTCCACACTTCAGCTGAGCTTTATCCCACGTTTGTCACCGGTAGCTGGATGAAAGTGTCTCACACAGCAGCTTGCCAGTCCCTACGAATGCTGTGGTACAAAGATACCTTCCACTTACTTCTCTTCAGTGCAGTGCTGTCACACGTACACTCCTTTGCATTCAGTACCAAGGGTGCAAGGGGTGGAACTGCTTTACCTTTTGACAGTTCATCATGACTCAGAACATGTTTTAGTGGTGAGACTGCTGTGGGTTATCACCACCACAATAATTACTTTTCTTGTGCTGCACCTGCAGAGCAGAAACTAAGCAGCATAACCATCTGGAACAACTACGCTGTGGTGTACTCACAATGCACATGGGATTCTAAAATGCTGACTGGTCAAACAGAGAAATGAGCTGGCATTTCTGTTTACCTGTGGTTACATCTTGCTGAGGTGGAAACCTTTTCCAAAACGAGGATCCTGATAATTCTTGATAGATGACTCAATTTGGAGAGCCAAACACAAAAGAGCTGACCTTCAGAATTTACTACAATTACCTGACCAGCAGTCTGTGTGATAAACAGGCCTGGTGGGAGCACTAAGGATTTCTCAAGTCTGAGAAGAATGCAGGCTACACTTTCAGATTAGTTTCTGTGAACAGTCAAGTCCTCTGCCTTCCCCATCCTGTTTCTGCCTTCCCTTTGCTGATTTTCATTTCTGTCTCTTTTTAAACACTGTCCTTTCTGTGCCAGCCTGGGACTCTGTTGTGCCATCCAACCCAGCAGGGGAAGCGGGATGGAAAACACACGCTAGCTTAGCTGGATCCTGCAGAGACACGTTGCTGCTGCTGCTGCTTTTTTATCACCAAAGCAACAGCTAGTGGGCATCGGATAAGCCAATGTGAAGCGTATTATAGGTGGTGGAAAACAAGCAAAGAACTTGTTATTCATAAATCTCAGAGGGAAAAATAGCTGGAAAAACACTAAGCGAGGGGAAAAAAACCTAATATTAGTTCACTGAAAGAAAGCTTCTGTAAATAATTGCATTTATAAAGAAAACGTATTTTAAGGCTTTGCAACAGAAAATATTTAATCACCACTTACAAACTATTTAAGTGCACTTTTAAAAAAACAACTTACTTGTCTGTTGTGTACTGGGTTTGATGTACTCGAAGGACTGGATTGTGACAAAGCTACACTGCTATTTTTTCCAATCTGAAAGACATTAATTGAGCAGCATTGAGAGACATATTTGTCAGTTGAATGCAGACGCTGGTAATGGCTTTCCTTTTCCTGAGCAAAGTGGCACTAATTGATTTGCATTTGGAACACAGGTATTTTGCTATTACAAAAAAAAAAAAACTTCTTCAGAGTCATAATTATCTCTTAGAGCCATCAACTCTGAAGGCACGTCAATACTACCAGAGATTAGAAAACAACATTAAGAAATGCTTTCTGGAGGAATTCAGGTTGTAAAATCCCACCTCTGTGGCCAGGAGCACTGGTTTGTGTGCTCATCACACTCGCTTTGTCAGCAGGCCAGCAATTGACAGCACAGTGAGCCTCCTCCCACAGCCCCTGCCCTCTCCTTGGGGCGCATGGCTTTAGAGCAGAGCAGCTGGCTGAGCACCACAGCACGCCCTGCCTTACTGCATCTTCTTCCACGTGGCCTTTGTTTAGCATTGCTCAAAGAAGCACATATTAACCAGCAGAATCAAACTTCAGAGGTTTCAACATGCGATTGTCCCACATTACTGGATCACAGAATTTGGGAATAAGTGCACATTATTAGTACGTGTACATACATTTTGGAAGTGCTTAAATAAAATACTGCAAAATTCCATCTGTGTACTTAAATCCTTGAAAGATTACAGCACTCTGGAGGAGCAGTTTGTTTTAGAACTTTTTGTAGCACCCCATAAACACATGGTGGATATTTCTGTTGCTGCACAAGAGGGAAGAGAGCTACTGAATCAAAGGGGTTATGAGACCAACCAAAAGTGACCAGGGACACCTGCTCACAATGGGCAAGTGACCAGATATGAGCAGTTATCCACATCAGTGATGGACTTGAAGTAATGGCAACTTTAATCACCTGACAAAGAGGTAACAAGGATCCATCATCTGAACGCAGTGAGAAATGCAGCTGCAAGTTTCTCACTGAATAGACAGGACTCAGGCAGTGGCCAGCAGAGTTTTCATCAACATCAGTTTTCTCCTTCCCTTCTGCAGCATCATTTGTTATTTCCCATTTCATACATAGACTGAAGAGCAGCCTACAGCTCCCTGTACGCACCTTCCCCACCTCACAACGACTGCTCAGCACAGTTTTCTCTGTTCACTCCCTACCCCGAAGAAATGGGCAGTGCTTTTGCATACAGCTGACTCCTATAGCACTTCCAAACAATGGCACAAAGGCTGAAGGGGCAGCCCCTGCCTGCTCACCCAGCTCCCCCTCAGCCAGTTCTGAATGTCACAGCTCTTCTTCTCTAGATAGCAATGCATCCCATTCAGCTTTTCTTCAATACGCAAATCTTGAACAGATACGCAGCCCTGTAAAATTTTTCCTAGCTGTTCCGAACACTATGGCAAACTTCCAGACCTATATCCACCATGACAATATTCATAAAATCCTTGCCCAATACAGAGCAAATACATAGAATGGAACCAGAGAATGGCCTGGGTTGAGAAGAAGCACAATGCTCATCTAGTTTCAATCCCCCTGCTATGTGCAGGTCGCCAACCACCAGACCGGGCTGCCCAGAGCCACATCCTGCCTGGCCTTGAATGCCTCCAGGGATGGGGCATCCACAACCCTGGGCAACCTGTTCCTGTGTGTGAAAAACTTCCTCCTAATATCTCACCTAAACCTCCCCTGTCTCAGTTTAAAACCATCCCCTTGTCCAGTCACTATCCACCCTGGTAAACAGCCACTGCCCCTCCTGTTTATATGCTCCCTTCAAGTACTGGAAGGCCGCAATGAGGTCTCCTGGGAGCCTTCTGTTTTCCAAACTGAACAGGCCCAGTTCCCTCAACCTTTCCTCACAGGAGAGGTGCTCCATTCTTTCAATGAGAAAAACACTCACTGAGAAACAGTCTTGCAGAGGTCTTGGAATCATGTGGAGAACACAACCCACCTCCCCAGAGCTGCCCACTGCGCTGCCCAATGAAGGGCTGAGTGCTGCCGGCTGCTGCTGGGCTGCGCTGCTCAGCAGAAGGGCTGTGTGAGGGCTGAGCTGCTGCAGGCCGCTGTGAGGAGAGCAAAGACGGCGCCATCTGTGCCGGGGCTCGGTGCTGCACACACCTGAGGCCACAGCTCTCATCCCTTCTTTCTTTTAAAAATAAACTCTACTACAAAGCTAAGCACTTAGCATTTTCAGTTACTACTGATCAAGGAGACCTGAGTCAAATTAGAAAAAAAGAAGTCCAGGGCTTATCAGCAGTCACTTGAGCTTCTTCCTGCATTCGTATTTCTTTAATTTAATTTTCCTTATTACATCAGGGAGCAGGAACAAGATTTTAAGTAGCGCCGTATTTTTTGTGGAATTTTTACTGCAATTGCACTTCTAGCGCACAGCAAGCCAAAACAACACAGCTTAAAGCTGACTGCAAGTGCTACATCCTCTAGAGTTTTAGTACTCCCACACACGGGACATAATATACTAAGACCCACGTACTTAAGGGGGTGCAAATGTCGTTTGTTTATGGCACAAACAAACAGCAGGAATTCAGCATCCTTGACACAAAGCTGTGAGCCAGACACCTGAAACTGTCAGCTTCACCTCACTGCTGTACTGGACAGCCAGCGCAGCTCCAAGGACAGCTACGTGAGCAGCAACGGATGACTTCTACATGTACATACATATATGCATACGTACACATACATGTCTACTGTTCATCATCACACACATCTAACATTTTCCTTAAGGGAAAACTATAGCGTGAATTAACAACATATTAACAAAGGCCTCTGACTCATCCTTGATGGGTTTTTATTGCCATTACAGTGTGAGTTGCTGAAATATATCCCACACTGGCACAGGAATGTCCCACAGGCACACATCCAATCACTAAGAGACTCAGAATGTGAACATAAGACCTCTTTATACACGCATGTATCTCACAAGCCTACATGCATCACACGTATTTGTAAGACTTCTCCGGACTACAACAGCTACAGATACTTTACGCAATGTGAAAAGACGATGCAATCCATTTTCTCCTGCCAGTATTTGCACCAAAGTAACAGCCTGTACTTACTTTTTCTTCCCATTTGAGATATTGTATCTCAGGGTAAGTTCCACGTTTTAGGCACACACGTATTTCAAACATCAGATGTGTGACTGAACAATGAATTTACAGCATTCTCCAATGATTTCAGTGACTTAAAGATTAATTCTGATTGCAAGACACATTTAAAATGATAAAGGGCTTTATAAAAGGATTTAAGCAGAAAGACAATACTGTAGTCTGTTTTTAAATGCCACTTCAATAATCTCAGCTGCACCTCTACTGGAAGCAGGAAGGAGAAAACAGACATCTTAAGCCATCCTGAGGCCTTCGTTCTGCCTGTTACACCGCATTTAGCATTTCTTCATTCCCTCCTTCCACTCCCACTGCTGCCTGCTGTCACCCATGGACTGCCTTGCCCTGGACACTACCCTCTCCATTTCTTAATTCCACTTCATGCACAACATCCTTGCGAAAGAAGAGTTTCACAATAGCTCAGAAACAAACCAACCTGTCCTAAGCTACTTTCTCTGGATTTTCTGACATTGTTCTCCGTGCTTCTGACACCCAGAGGCCAGTGCAAGCTTTGTTTTCTGTGCACAGCATTGCACTGGACACAGTGGCAGAATTAACCAGAAGATCATACTAAAGATAGCACTGCCAGCTTTTTCAGCAAAATTTAACATGTACTGTTGTCCATACACAGAATCACTGAAAGAAAAGCCAAAGTTCTACTGCTAGTGATGAGGAAGAAACCTTATCTGCTGCAGCAACTTCGATATTCTGAAGGTGTTCACACTAAAAGATAAGCAAGTGTCAATTAAAGGTGATCTGGTTAAGATCTTAATTTCTTGATTCTCCTGGTTTCAAACAGGAAACAGCATCTGAAGTCACGTGTCCCAGGCCTCCCCCACAGGAAAAGGCAAAACGTAAGCACTCTACATAAATGGAATGAGGTTTAACATTAACATTAAACAACGAATCAGCAACAAATATGGGAAAAAAAGAAATGCTGACTCTTATCTCCCAGCTTTAATGACATACAATTTATTTCAGAGAGATGAGAATTAAGATTGAAAATTGATTTCTAAAAATTACTGATCCATTCTTGACATTTAGTTTCATTTTCAAATTTACAAATGACTATTTTATTAATTGAATAAAAATTCTCATTAAAATATTTCAGGAGAGTAAAAAACCCCTTTCCTCCCTCCTCTGCCCCCCTCGGCATGTCCCTATGATTTGTACAAAATAAATACAAATACATTTCTGTATGAACACAGAAAATCAGCTGTTTGATGAAAAACAACCCAAAGCAAACACTGCATTTTCTTGTTCATAATGCATGAACTACTTTGAGTAAGTCAAACATGACCTGCAAAAAAATAACCGGAAGGGTCCCTTACCTGCCGAGAGATGGAGCTGCTTGTTGGGTCTGGCACCGCAGAAATAAGGTTGGCAGTGCTCTTTCTATGAACACTATTCATACCAGGCATTTTAGTGATTTTACAGGCTTTGCTACTAGAACTAGAGTTTTTACGTTTTTTTCCTTCTGATTTGTCGAAAGAAAGGGGTAGAGAAGACACTGCATTATGTGCTCCCAGGGAGTGGTCCCCTGAATGGTGCACAAGAGAAGGTACAGACAGATTAGAAGAGTCAATACTGCTTACTACCATGCTCATGTGTTTCACTGAGTCTGTTGAACTACTTGATAATGAAGTCCGTCCTGAGGGCTCCAATTTGGCACTGAGTGGGCTTGTTCCATTGTTTGTATTGTGCACAGACATACTGTTATAGGAAGATGTGGCCTGATAGGAGTTCAAAGTCGAACTGGTGTTCAGGACACAGTTCTTTTTGTGGGACCCTGAAAATGAAGACGAGGAAGATGTCTGCAAAGATAACGAGGATGATGATGACTGCGGCTTTTTCTTTTTGTTACTTGAAGACTCGTCGCTACGAGATGACAAGTCTTTTACTTTTGAGGATTTGCTGGTTTTTGTTTTGGATGGCTTGTGGGATGGGGAAGGGATGACTGCTGGCACTGGTGACACAGCTGATGGCGCCTTGAAGGTCGAGTCCATGATGCTTAGGCTTGCAGCCACATGAGGAAAAGCTGTAGTGTGTGACATAATGGAATTTGTATCCGATGTCGTCACAAAGGCTGCATTTGATAACATGGCTGATGTCATTATGTAAGAAGAAGTGATTCTTGAGCTGATAGGTGTTGACGGAATATATACTGCACTGGGGTTGCTGAAAGGTTGTAAGACGGACGCTGGAAAGGGAGTGGAGACGTGTGCTGCTGGAGAAGGCATTGGGCTGTCTGCCGCAGGAGGGATTTTCCTACACGGGAAAGAATAAAAGAGAGTTAGATGCATTAAAAACTTCCATGTGAACAATACGGATAAGAGAAGATTCCTGGAAAAGGCCAACTTATTAAAAAAAGAAAAGAAAAGGCAGATCTGATTCATTGTAGTTTTGCTTCCTATTCTGCCAACCAGACATATTTTAATATGCACAACTTGAAATAAGTTGCACATTCTATAGCAGCTTACTTTCACTCCTGATTTTTTTCTTTATAAACTTCAAAAGCCTGTCACAAAGCTCGTGTGTTTTGATGTTCTAAGAATTCAGGAAAACAGCAAATTGTGTTTTCCTAAAAATGCATGTTCAGATGAGGGACACTCTTTCCATGAAGGCACTGGAGATGTAACAGAAGAAGTTTAGGTGAAGATCTATGCAGTGCAATGTTTTGTGCATGGAACATCACCACTGAACTGTGCAGTTCCACTATTAAACCAGAGCTGAGCTTCTGCACACATGTCCCACGTAGCAATTACATATATGGTGTTACAATTAACCACCTTCTTACAAATTTTATCTCATTTTTTTATTCTACTTTACAAAAAAAAAAAAAAAAAAAAGGAAGGGCAGAGCAAGGGCAAGGGGTCTGAAATGTCTGACGGTGGAGTCTACAAACATACTAAACAATATGCTTCATTCACTGCATGAGTTTTGCCTAAAAGTTCAAGCTGTAGAACAGTTTCAGAATTAGCCTGAGCGCAGGTCAGACCTGTGAGGGCAGTAAATGAGTCAGTTTTGGGGACTGTGAATTACTTATCACCGAGCTTAAAGAGGAAAAGGAGTAACGGGTCAATGGCTCATCCTTGCCTCAATGCAGTACCATTCCCAAGAGCTCATGTGGACAGGATTAACTAGTTAAGTCATTCATTTCATTGATACTGAAAGACTGACAGAACCTGAAACAATACTTGATAAACTGTATGACTAGCTGAATACTGAGAACAAAATTTAATGATATTACCTGTGAAATCAGTAGAATGTACTTAAGTTCCTTTCTATTCCACCACCAACAGTATATCATCTATTACGTTATCCAGTCCAATGTTAACAAAAAACAGTCTTCCATAATGTCTCTTGGAAAATTATCATGTGAGTTTTTCCTCATTATTTGGACTATTAATGCTATTCCTCTTTGTTAAGAACCCACAGAGCACCATAATTCTGCCCTTGTTAATCCCCAGTACTGACATCTCTTCAGTTTGTAAAGACTCACGCCTGCCCTCAGCTAAGTACAATAAAACAGCACAGGGTATGCTTTATGACAAAATTAATCCTCTGCTGTTTTACCATAAATCAAATCCTAATTAACCGGCTTCTCTCCTGGTATTCTTCCTGTAGAGACTCTCAGACAGAGCCCTGCTCATGACAGAAATGAGTAAGGGTTTGCACACGGACTGTGCTCTCAGAAGTAAGCAAAGTCCTACTGCCTGTGACTTCCTATGGGGCTATGAACAAAGCAATTATCAGGCCCATTCCTCAGTCTACTATTAAAGAAAAGCCAATAACTCTTACCCACCTTTGTAAAATACACTGAGAACTAGGGGTAAAAAGCACTCTGTAGATGTTGTTATTGCTCTCAAAATATGGCCTTGCGTCCCTTTTACCATTTGGCTCAGCTGGATGAGCCACAGCTAGGGCTGGACTAGCTCCACTACAACATAACAGCTTTATGCACAGCTCTGCTTGGGGAAGACAGGAAAGGATCAGTCCAAAGGACGGAGGACAACAGTGGGATACAAAAAGGATTAAGTGGTCAGGTTCCTGTGTTACACAGACAACTAAGTACGGATGGAATCCATTCAAATATTAGAGGCTGCATTAAGAGCTAGAATTTGGGAAAACATTTACAATTGGATTTAGTGGGAGCAGGACAAGACCTGTTTATTTCTTGTATCACACAACTACTGCAGAAGTTATTTGAGCTTTTCATGAAAGGAATGATACTTGGTGTCACTTCCTCAGATGCCTGAATGTCTTTTCGCCTGACATACAAAGCCAACAGATAACAAGTTTTACTTCTCCTATTTATAGAAACAAAATTAGTTTTATTTGTAGGAGGTGGCAGACAGTGGTTAACAGCCAAAATTGCTGAGTAAAAGAAAGGAACCCGTTCTGGACCAAGTGCGATCTGTCTCTAAACAGATGCAAGTGGCCATTCTATGGCAAATCCACCCATTTCCAAATGATGTCTCCAAGTACAGCAGCACTGTTATCACCCAGTTACCAGGTCAGTCAGACAAGCCATGGTTCAGTACTTCAATAATTTATATAAATAAAAATCAGACCTTGTTTATGTAATGGCTGGCATCCAATGAATATAATACAGTCCTGATAATAAACAGCGACGACATGAAACACTGCACTTTAGAGCAATTGCACTGAAAGAAGAATGCATGTTCCATTGCAGAATTAAAAAAAAAATAATAATCACATCTTCAGATCCCACGAGCCTTTTCAAAATATATATTAAAAAAAAAAATCTTTGTGTAGTGCAGTCTGTTTTCATTTTTCTATGTAACCTAAGCACACAGTGATTGCAACCTGCATACATCACACAGAGGTGCTTCAATGCGGAGTCAAAAACAGAAAATTAAGACATCTAATGCTGGTGAGTCTTGAAGGCACTGTGGACTAAAAATTTCCACATTCCTTTACACATTAGCAAATATGAGGATTGCTCTGAAAGTAATGCCTTCTATTTTATTATGCTGGCCCATGACGTCAGAGGCAGATGTTGGTGGTATGACAGCAGAGGCTGAACCTTCCCACCAATATCCCATTATGTTTTGTTGCCGTGTGACAGATGGCAGCAGAGAGGCAGTCTGACAGAATGGGGTCTGACATGGAAGTGAGGATGAAGCAAAGGTGTGTAACATGGAAAAAATGGCACCCATTGACATTCACTGACACTTGTTGAATGCCGATGGAGACCAACTAGTGGATATGAGCACAGTGAGGCATTGAGTGGTGTGTTTCAGCAGTGGCAACAGTGATGTGAAGGACAAGCCCCATTTCAGATGGTTGGTGCACAGCTGTCACGCCATGAAATGAAACGTGTCTCCATCAGCTCATCCATGCAACTTGGCAAATGGTGATGACTATGAAAAACAGTGCTCTATAGCTGAGAATTTGCTCTACCAAATGGTGTTCCTGTGCTTTTGGTATGTTGTACTTTCCATGGAAATAAACAGGAGGCATTACTTTAAGAGCGACCTATGTATATACTGATGTTCTTACCACACAACACAAGTTTCACTGAGAAAAGTCTGAATGGTGATAAGGCTGTGTGACACAGATATAAAAGTCCAGGCCAAATCCAACCTGTGTTATAAAACTGCATGATATCAAGACATACCTCCAAGCCCAGAGAACACCAAGCTCTCATGCACTTAAATGTTAGCAGAGCTACTGAATTATTCCCCCATCCCAAGACTGGAGGGACTACAGAAAAGTTCTAAATCTGGCAGAACCACACATCAGAAAAGGTGATTGCACTCTCGTGCTGCATATTCCTCAGTGGAAAAGAAATCTTGTATTTGTATTACAGGCATGACTTAACACAAAGGTAATGTCAAAAACAAATCCCATGGAGCGTTTCATTTAGTAGTTATACAGAATTAAAGATGTTGAGCTATGCCCATGTGTAAAACTCCCACTTACTTCCACATCTGTGAATTCAAGTGTTTTTCTACCATGGAGTTTAGTGCGAATCGAAAATGGTCCCATCTTCTGTCAAAGACATAGTACCCTCTTCCCATTAAGCGACTACCATACGAACAGAACTGAAAGAAAAGATCGTTCAATGTTATTAAAAAAGTTTCTATGCTATAAAAGAATGACCATTTATTGATCCTGCTACATCTTTGCAATTTGTATAGCAAAATAGCTTTAAAGGGATATTTCTCTCTATTGCAGCATAAATACTTTTTTTCATGATGTATGAAATACACACGTAACATTTCTGCCTAAAGTATACTTTGTACTCTGCTAACAATTCAGTTTACTGTCGGGTATCTACCTATGTGTCACAGGGAAGGAATACAAATGCCAAGCTACTATTAAAGAAGCAGTTCTGGCTAATAACATTGGGGTCTGACAAAATTTCTCCTTTTCTCTAAGGAATACGGAAAATGTCACAGTTATCACACTTTATTCTGCGTAAGGAAAACACATAAATGAAGTCTTCACTGATTTTACTCCTTGGCTTGATCTTTGTGAGAAAGAGCTGCTCAGGCGTTGGCGAGTTCTCCCATTGTTTCTTCCCATTGTTTGTACAGTGTGAACAAATTCATACTGCAAATTCAGTGACACAAGGTTCTCTGACTTACAATAAAGTTTGCTAGTAGCATGGGAGAAAGACAAAAACAGCTGCCAGAGAAACACATTCTCAAGCCACTGCCAGAGCAGATGGGCTATGCTGTGCTCTACTTTCCATTTTTAGATGAATGAAGCAATAGCTCCTATGTCCACATACACTCACATAAATGATATTTAATTACTGCTTCATAGCATGCTACAAAGATCAACGAGTACCATAATAGCTCTTCACTGCCATATGATTTTTAGAGCTATAACCAATTGCAAGGTAGTTTCATAAGAACAATGTATGACAACAAATTGTCTGTTCACGTCACATTTCAAACACTGCAACTGCACAGTTTAGCAGAACTACACTTCTCAGACTACTGAGAAAAAAACTAAAAGGAGAACTTTATTTTCTACTCCTTATCCCATCCCACACCCCGGCAATGTTTAACTATCATATGCAATGACCAGTCTTCTCCTCCTACCTGCTCCCATTCAAACCATAGTTTTCTGCCAAATGTAATACAGACTCAGAATAGTTTCCCATTCCTTACATTTTTACCAAAGCATGTTTCTTTCCTCCCCTCTTTAATTTCTTAAGAGTAACAGCAAGGCATGCCAGCGAGAGAGACATACCCCAAGAGGTCTGGGATGGTGTCCAGAAAAATGACAGTCTAATTTCTCAGATTCTTCAGCTCCATCCACTTCTCCTTCATCACTGGACAATCTACTAGTTAAATCTCCTCCCATGGAAGGCAGTGGCAGTTCTGGTACATACCCACTGTGGTTTGAAGAACTGTTGCTGTTTATGCTATTGGCAGATGATGGTCTAGAAAGAGAATATACATTTAAATTACCAGCATTCAACAGCCCTGCAAAGGTACCTGCCTGAGTCAAGCCTTGAAGTAAATTATGCCAGAAACGATCATGGGAAGAAGGACAGTAAAGGATAAAGAACAGCTAACATTTGGTCTTGCAAGAATATAACAGTTATCACCAAGTTGACATTAACAGAAGTATCTTTGTATTGCCTGAAATGTTAAATCCACCAAAAAGTTCAGTTTAAGATCTCGACAGATGCAAAATATATTACATGTGCAAACAAAACTAGATGTGTAAAATCTTCCCACAAAGCACCATTACTCCACTACTTCGTTAATCCCAAGTGTCCAGTTATCACATTTATTTCTTACTGAAATGTGCATACTAAATACAACAAGAGTCTTTAGTTTACTCCCTCCACAGTCAGTTCAGTATGTGCAGTCACTGGGAGGACTCTGCAGAACATAGGGATGGCTGGACAAAATACCTGTGCTGAGCAAAACCAGAAAATGAAAAACAAGCTCTCCAAAACTAGCCTTCCTCATCCAGCGAATTTGGGCTACCAGCCACTAAAACTGTGGATAGTGCCCTCTCCTGAACTGAGCTGGGATTGTTAAAAAACGTCCACCAGCTGAAAATCACTGCTGCAGCTGTTGGCTGGTGCATGGGATAGATTGTGTGAGTGCTCCTCAGCCTTGAGGAAGAGGTGGCCCAGTCAGGCCAAGTCACTTTCAGGGCAACCAGCAAACATTGCTTGGGGGAGCAGGCAGCAGCCACATAACCTCTGCCAGCAGAGCTGTAGGCTGTATGCTGACTCACAGCAGGGAGCAAGGCTTTCCTCTGGCACGGCTGCTTGTAAAAACAGGAAAGATGACAGAACAGACACTGCAGGAGAAACAGAAGTATAAATCGTACCAACATGACATATGACCGCTAAAATCCTTCTCCTTGCATATGACTATCTTTTCTTTGCAATTTCTTCTGCTGCCACTGAACCACATTTCAGTTTTGTTTTTTTGACTGTAACACCTACTAAAACTAATGCCTGCCTGTCCCTCTACACTCCTCTGCACGTAAGCACTGTGTAAGGTCAGCCTTCTAATAGAAATTACACATAATTCTCATCAACTTTCCTATTCTTTCATTCATCCACAGCCCTGTGAGATTCACCTCTGCCACTGAGTGAAAAGCATTTCACTGTGACTTGATGAACACACAATAAAAAATGGAAATAGCTGTCTGTAGAACTGGAGATAAGACTCTGAAAGAGGGACTTCATATAGATGACCAAACATGAGTACCTAATTCTGACCAAGACTTCTGCAAAGACATGACATATGAAACAATGCCAACATGAACAGAACCAACCAGCCTAACTCTATCCACTCCAGAAAAAAACAGGAGTACCTAAAAACCCTCTCCGAAAGCAAAAAAGCCATACAAAACAAATGGGAAGTTTCCCAGAGGATAGAGTAGAATTCAGTAGCTACAATACTTCATAGTGGCTCTTCTAAAGGTACATTTTTGGAAGTTTATGTTGTCTTTCTGATTTTGTCCTTTCTAAGAAAAATTGCCACAGCGGTGAAAGACACACCATGGGCGGACTCAGATGGATGGGTTTAAGCTGCTTACACTGTCATCTACACGGAAGCACACCTTTCTTTAAGACATTCCACTGATGTAGTTGGTGACATTTCTGCATAAAACATTCCTATACAACTGTACAGAATTTTGCCAGCAGTATCTCAATTCATATAAGCAACTTTCACTTCCAAATGTGTCAGAATGACTCAGTTATAACCTTCCTCATTACTACCACCCATCTTAGCCAAAAAATGCTGTTAGTCTGAGCTTCAGAGCAGAGGACAGATACCACTCCTTACCCCAGTCCCAACCAGATCACAGACTACCATGGATGGGCTTACATTAATGTAAGAATATTCTACTTTATACTGCTAAGAGAAATCCTCATATGAAGGTATGTTTTATCATGCAATAGCCCAAACACTAAATGTTTATAAAATAAGCTGTATAAAGCACTAGCACTTTCTTACAGCAATTCTAGAATGCAACACTTCACGCTGGAGAACTGCTTACCTTGGAAGTACAGAATTTGGTGGTCTAGATTTTGCAGGAGATGTTACTTTAGATTCTTGTCCAGAGTTCACTGAAGATCCTGACAGAGAGTCTTGTGCTGGTGTGGGCTGGCTCTGATAGCTTTCCCTTGCCGATGGTGGATGCTCTTTGTCTTTTGTGACTTCTTTTTCCCTGGATCGAGCTTTGTGTTCAGCTAGAAGGATGTCAAACTGTTTTTTACGGCCTGGAACTGCTCGTCGATGATTAAGTGAATGAGTCTAAAAATAGGGTGGTTAAAAAGCATTTGTGTGTGCATGACATTGTTTATGAGTCCTCTATACTTCCGATACACCACAACTCTAAAAGATAAAAATCTACTTCAAGCAACTTCAGCCACAGTTATGGAAATAAAACTGCTACTCCATATTATATTTGATAATTTATGAGGTCATTTCTTAAGAAATTACTTTTGCAAGAATTTTCATAACAGAATCCATTGACTTACCTTTTCCAAGACAGAAAGTGTAATTCCAATAACTTTAAAATATTAAGAAGTAACGCCATTGCGGCTCTTAACTTACAAAGAAAAACTGATTTCAGTGGATTGAAAAATGTGAATACATTTTAAGCAAATGTAACCATCACCTCTACCATGAGGCACCAGCTACACATACAAATGGTCATTATAAACATCTTACGTTGGTGCTACTTTTTAACAAGACCCATCATTATCAGAAGAGCAGCCTCCAAATAATTTCTTACATGAAAATCATGTTAAATTTTTTACTCAAGTGACTATACTTCAGCATTTTTGCACATATGAGTTGAAAAGGGAGCACTAAAAATAACTTCTGTGCTTCTACGTGAAACATTAATGCTTTCTGCATAACAAAATGACAAGAAAAAAACATCTCTCTAGAAATATCAGCAGAATAATGCAGATGGCTCTGATTCAAAGAAACAGAATTACTCAAAAGAATTACCTGAAGACAGCATCTGAATACCATACCCATTGTCTGTAAGACAGGAGCAGGTATGACCTCTCAAACTACTGTGGTAGGATTTAAACTATAACAAAGCATCTGATATTTTATCTTCTAAGAAAAATACCTTGCAGGTGAGCGATCTTGTGCAAGGTTTCTTTGTTTCAGGATCCAGTACTCCACAGTGTTTATTTGGGTCAAATTCTCTTTCTGTTTGATGAAGGTGGAGGAAAAAGGAGAAAAAAGTAGATTATTTCAGGAATTTTAGCCAGAGCACCATATTTGCCTAACAATACTTAATGCAGCCAAGCTCAGCCTGAAGCGCTGTTCCCAACCCCAGTGCTCCACAATGGTGCCATGTGCATCACCCTCAGCCACTTGTGCATTTTTTTCTGTTCGTATGTGCTTCAAACTATTTAGTCACAGACTTCATAGGAGTAAGTCTGCTTACTTATGGAGTTGCACTCAACAGAGTGGTCTACACACACAACTCAGCCATATCCCAAGGAGTTCACAGAGTCATAGAATCAGAGAATGGTTTGGGTTGGAAGCGACCTAGTAAGTTTGCAGATGACACTAAGCTGGGAGGTGGTGTCAATCTGCCTGAGGGTAGGGAGGCCCTTCAGAGGGATTTAGACAGGCTGGATCACTGGGCTGAGGTGAATGGGATGAGGTTCAACAAGGCCAAGTGTCGGGTCCTGCACTTTGGGCACAACAACCCCATGTAGCGTTACAGGCTTGGGGATGAGTGGCTGGATGAGTGTGAAGAAGAGAAGGACCTGGGGGTGTTGGCTGATGCTCGGCTGAACATGAGCCGACAGTGTGCCCAGGTGGCCAAGAGGGCCAACGGCATCCTGGCCTGCATTAGAAATAGTGTGGCCAGCAGGAGCAGGGAGGTGATCATCCCCCTCTACTCAGCACTGGTGAGGCCGCACCTCGAGTACTGTGTTCAGTTTTGGGCTCCTCACTACAGGAAAGACATTGAGGCCCTGGAACGTGTCCAGAGAAGGGCAACAAAACTGGTGAGGGGTCTGGAGCACAAGTCTTATGAGGAGCGGCTGAGGGAGCTGGGGTTGTTCAGTCTGGAGAAGAGGAGGCTCAGGGGAGACCTCATTGCACTCTACAACTTCCTGAAGGGAGGTTGTGGCGAAGAGGGTTTTGGCCTCTTCTCCCAGGCAACGAGCAGGAAAAGGGGTAATGGCCACAAGTTGTATAAGAGGAGGTTTCGATTAGACATAAGGAAGAACTATTTCTCTAAGAGAGTGGTCAGGCACTGGAATGGCTGCCCAGAGAGGTGGTGGAGTCACCGTCCCTGGCAGTGTTCAAGAGGCATCTGGATGACATGCTGTGTGATATGGTTTAGTGCTTGTGGTGGCAATGGTGATGAGAAGACGGTTGGACTGGATGATCTTGTAGGTCGTTTCCAACCTTGTGATTCTATGATTCTATGACCTTTAAGATAATCAAGTTCTAACCCCCTGCTACAGGCAGGGGCACCTCCCATTTCAGTCTCTAACACTGACTGCTTCTGAAGCCATGAAACGCATTTGCAAACCCACCCTCTGAATTTGACTACGGAGCACACTTAATACACATACAGACTAAATAGTGCAGTGTGTTATACAACCTTACTGTGAACTCTGAAACTCTGAAAAACAACCAGTGTTGTTTAAAACACAAACACAAGATTACTAGTGACATGCTAAAAACAGAATTTATCTAAATCTGTCTCATCTTCAGGAAGTATAAAGAAAAGAGTATGTTAATTCTTGTTTCCTTAAGTCATGGAGGCACAGAATTTAAAGTTTGCAGAGATCACGAAAATAAAGTCTCATTTGAGTTCTACTTATGATTAACATTAGAAGTGTATTTAATATTTAATGTGCTATATTTGCATATTCCATTGTTGTTAATATTTCAGTATTTGTATACCACAGATAGCATCACCCCCTTAAGTTGTATTAATATAATTCTAGGTTTTGCACTACAGAGCTGTAACAAAACTACGGACGTAGAGTTATTACTTATGCAAAAAAAATCTACCATCATCTTTACACATGTAGACATGGTATGTTTAATTGGCAGGCTGGTTTGCATCTGATCATGGAATATATGATCAAAAACATTTGCCAAGGTGTTCTTTCACCATATAGCTGTGTTACATTTGGATAAAAATAAACATCTTGTACTTAAATACAACAACTGATGTAAGGACCTAAACATTCATTATAAACAAACAAACAAACAACGACAACAAAAAATCAGAGCTAGGATGAAGACAGTAATTCACAGCTACAGTACAATGCTAGGACATCACAGCCAGCGCAACAGGAAAAACTGCAGGCCAAGGAGCCTCATACGTTAACTCTTGCCTTCTAGATAACAGAATTATTAGCAGTTGTATGTAATCTGCTACATGGACTTAAACACGATCAAGTTCAATTCACAGCTATGTTACTGGCCTACTAGCAGAGACACGTATCAAAAAGAGAGCTTGGGAAGAACAGTCGGCACTACTTCTTGGTAGAATCTATCAAGGGTCTGATATCTGTCACACATAGTTGTAGTTTCTGTGGCTTTTACACAGCTCAGCAGAAATAATAAAAAGATCTAATAAATAAATAAATCTAATAATAAAAAGTATGACCAAACATTAAAAAACCCACATTTTTTCTTACTTTTAGTGGATGAAAACAGATGTTCATGAGCTAAAAGAGATAATCATTACTGTTTTTTTATTACAACCTCACAGAGGGAAGAAGAGTCAAACTCCTGTTTGAGACATAACAGATAGAGACTCACAGAATGGTTTGGGTTGAAGGAGACCTTAAACCCCACCCATCCCCAACCCCTGCTGTGGGCTGGCTGCCCCCCACCACATCAGGCTACACAGGGCCTCATCCAACCTGTGCCAGGGCCTCACTGCCCTCTGAATAAAGAATGTCTTCCTAACATTTAACCTCAATTTCACATCTTTTAGTTTAAATCCGTTACCCCTTGGACCTATCACTACATGACCTTGCAGAAAGGTCCCCCTCCAGCATTCTCATAGGCCTCCTCTAGGTAGTGCAAGGATATTTTTAGTTTCAGCTGGGCAGCTGTATTTTTAACTTCATCCCAAAGAGAACAGGCACTGAAGATATGTAAAAAAAAAAAAACACCAAAAAACCAACATTTTTTTTCCAGTTTGCTACTAAAGAACAGTGATCCACTTATGCCCGGAAGCTACAGACTCTTTTTGGGGGTCAGGGAGCTGCTTTCCTCTCTCTCACCAAAGACAATGCTTCCAAAAAGGAGCAGGGGCATTCCTCACCTAAATAACCAGCAGGTCTCAACAAAGATTGAAAAAAAAACAACACCCAAATAACAAACCAACCATCACCAACAAAAAAACCAACAACCAGAAAACCTCTTCAGCCACAGCCAGGGAAAGGGAAATGGCACGAGAGAAAATGGAGGCTATTGAAAGGAAAGAGAACAGATGTAAGCCAGTCAGACCTTCACAAATTAACAGCTGTACACTTGAACAGTGAAGGACGGAGCAAAACCTAAATCCCCGGCCAGCTCCTCATTCTTTTAATGTAAAATGAATGAAATTTATAGTAAAGCAAAAATAATCATCTCCTTGACCTTCCAAGATCTTTTTCTCAGCCTCTGCACAGTTCGGTATAATAATGGAGCGGAATCCATCATAATGACACGCAATCTACAGGCAATTAATTTACAGTGCTCACAGAACTTCTGTTATTTGCATCATCACTAATTTATTGCCTTGCTGCATGTGAGGCAGTGCAAGCAAGATTTAATGGATTCCAAATCTGTTAATGAGAGAAGAGTTTATAAACAGTATCAATTTAATTTTTTTTTTTTAATCTTATGAAAAGAAACTGAGGCCCATCAGAATGCTCAAGTGGTCCTGTGCAGAGTCCCAGTCTGACTGGAAATTTCCAGCACTGAAACTTTCTCTATCATGCAGAAATCAGAGTGATAAGCCCAGAGACAGACTAATGACAGAGTCACCTCCAAGGAGGCTGAAGGAGGGCCCTTCAGAACAGAAATGGTTCTCCTTTATGAGCATATTGCAGCAAGCACTTGTACAACAAAGGTACAGTGTCTCCTACAGTGTGCTGCAGTGGCACATGGAGACATGAGGAGCATCAATATCGCTTTCAACTGCCCACGTGAGAAACCCTAATTGATTAGCTAAATTAAGCTTATGGAATATTAAAGGAAATAACGGGTAAAAAGAAATCAATGTTTTAAGTTAACTGCAAAATACATTACATGGAGTTTTTATTGGAATAACAAATTGGATCTTCACAAGTGAAACGTGGTATAAAAGCCTAACCAGTTCCTTTTTCTTAATATTTTTTAGTTTTTGGAATGCTATCATGAACAACTGCTCTGTTTTCTTATATGCCACCTTTAACTAGTTAAGAAAGCAATCAGTGTTGGATCCCTGAAAGCGATGGCATCCTTCCACACCACACACAGCCCTAGCAAATACTTCTCTCTGCTCTGGATCCGAGCCATGGTAGCAGTACCACGGAGCTCACTGCCAAATTTGAGAAAATGAAGGGAAAAAAAAAAAAAAAAAAAAAAAGTAGAAGTGATATTCAGTCAAAAATAGGACACACTTATTAACTGGAAATTAAAGCATTTATCTTGCACACTTATACTTGCCTCATAACCAGTGCACATTTAGAAAGCATTTGAACTAACTCTGTCATCGGACGATCTAACGCGGCTCATGCTGCCATTAGCCAAATTAGCCTTTCAGTACACACAGGCAGCTCCTGCCCAAATCACAAAGTACTGCCAGCAGATGAATAGACTCTGTGCAGCTCTTAAAGCAGTAAACTTGGGTCAGTTACTTTTGCTTAAAAAACAACAACTACTACAACAAAACAACAAAACCCAAAATCATAGAAGCATCAAAACACTTTTTTTTGCTCTTTTGATTTAAAACAAAAACATGTTTTCAGCTTCTGAGGCCCAAGAATGGCCACAGGTCACCACTGGGGAGCTCCATGGAAAAACACCTTCCTCCAAAGCATGGCAACCTTTCTGATCGCCCCTCAGCCCTCCCACGTGGGGCTGTTCTGCACGTGGTGACAATTTGCACAGGGCCCAGTGTCCTCAATGCTGCTCTGCTCAAGGCCACCCAAGCAATTTCCACACTAATGCCAGCCCCTCAGCCCCACCATCTGCCCCTCCTGAAAAAAAACAGAGGCCCCCACACTCCCACCTTCTTGCTCCTCTCATATGTAAACTGCAGAGGAAGGAGAGGAGGCAAATTATGACTTTCCTAACTTCCCCAAAATCTCCAGTATCTTCCTAGAATTTTCCAGTATTAGTTAAAGAACATTATGACTTGGTGGATAACTCCATGTCCTAAAGGTCAAGCTGCACAACTTGGTCATGACTGTACTGAAGCCACTCAGCCTATAATATTGTTTTTTGTTGTAATTAAACTGATATTACACAACAGACTGAAGAAGCCTTCTATCTTTCTGCTTTAATGATTTTACTTCCTTAAAATTTTACATGTGACTTTACTTGACCAGCTGGCCAATTGAGAAATGCATGAAGCACTCTACATTCAAACTAAATGGAATGACTATTTTGAAAACAGCTTTCACATGCTACAAGTTTGAAAGCTTTCCTTTTCTCACGTGTAAACTGGCATCTTCCAGCAGAAAGATCAGAACAAAAACAGGCCACAGCATTTTAGTAGCATATTATTTCTGAGCTATAGGAATATTAGTAAAGAAAAGTGGACTATATCAAAAGTTAAACTATGACATTACTCACCTGAAAGTCTTTTGTAAGGCTTGTTACTGCTTTTAGTGCCATTTTGGTGTTTCTTGTCTATTGATGGAGCTATAATTCCTTTGCCGTTCAGAATCTTTTCTGGCGACGGCGGCACTGACTTGGTTGTCAAACCAGATTTAACCAAGGTTGGAGCAGGTATGGTGGATGACGAGGCTGAGGAGGAGGTGATGGTGGTAGTGGTTGCAGAATTCATTTTAACATTGGCACCATCTGCCTTCACTAGATTAGGAATTTTCTCTAGACTGACTACTGGAACAGGAACACTGAAAAAAACAAAGAAAAATGTTCATGTTGCATTTTCTGTATTACAAATGCACACTTCATTAGCTCCTTTCCACAGATAAAAAGAACTTGATGCAAGTGAAACAGCACTTTCAGACCAAAACGGAATACTTAATATCATTACTCACTACTTTTGTTCACTTAAACCTTTACAGAGCAGCCATTTGTAAAGCCTGGTAATGGAAATGATTATGCAAAGTTGTTTGTTGTCTTTTTTTTTTTATTTTTAAAGACATTTCCCCACTACTCATAAACAAAGTGCCAATAACACACATTCCTTTAAGGATATACTCTTATGCCATTAACACTAGCAGGTCGAGGATACGTTCACCACAATAATGAAGTAATGTGCTAACAATGTCAACAGTTTAAAATAAAAGCAATTCATTTGCTCAGAATGGCACACAGAAACAAGGAGAAAAGAGGTTTTGAGCATGGAAATCTTCATAGCAATCCCTTAAAAAGTAACGTAATCCTCAATGAAGTGAACATTACCAAAATGTGTTTTTAATAAAATCTGTGAACTTACGAATACCTTTGCCTCACTTAACTACTGCAGCAGCACACTTGTGACACTAACAGAAGTTAAGTTCTCAGTATGGTAGCAAATTTGCAGCTGGAATTACAGAAAACTTCTATACTCGTATCTTAAGTGCAGAAGTAAGCTGGTCAGAACACAGAGCTGACCGCAAAAAGATGTAAGGCGCTGGTCAGCATGAAAACAACTGAACTCACTGATAAATGAACTGCGGAAGGACTTTGCTTTGCTTTTAAACAGATGACAAATACATTTGTTGAAAATAGGAGAATTTGTCTTTTCTTCTCTAGATCTAGTAGTTTTACTATATAGAAAGTATACATAAACTGGAGCTAAATGTATCTTCGCAACCAGCTTATAATACTTATCTTAATTCAAATGCTGATAACACAGTGAAAAGATCAAGCAGATCCATTATTCAAGTAATGCAAAGGAAGTTTTATATGTTTTGCAGTGCACAGAACTTAGAGCAAGTCCTACAACACACGTGGGCTGATCAGTAAAAGCGAGCCAAGCCTAAGGGAGCAATGCTTTGCTTTACTTTTGTTACAGACCAGCAAGTCAACCTTGAGAACAAACGCAATTCCTTCTGCATTTCACTGCAACATATGGAAGAAAAAACAATATTTTTATATTTTAAGACCGACATTCTGTATGACTCCATACAGCCTGCAGTAAATTATTTTAGATTTTGGAAGATACAAATGATAATTACTCTCTCTTTCTTAAAGTAAACGGGCAACACAACATTAAAGAACTCCATTTCATGTCAGCACAAGTAAAGTTGAATCAATAACTGAAATGGAAACTGGGAGCTGCTTAGGACACAGCAACTGTGATTGAGACTACCAGTGACTAAAAAGGTAAATAAATCACAAATGCTCAGATTTATACTTCATGGCTCAAGAGAGTTCCTTTTCCAAATCAGGTTTCTTTGACTGAAAAGTGAGGATATTTCAAAAAGTTAATTTGTTACCATATTTAAAAAATATTTTTTGCATATGGAGTTTGTTCAGAGTTTGTAAAGACAGTGGCTGCAAGGAACAGTCAGAAAAGGAAAATACAACAAAAAGAGAGGAAGGGTACATGGCAATCCATAAAAACGAGAGAAATGAAGGTATGGAAGACTGCCAAAGATGTGCGAAAAAGATCTATATTAATCTGTATTCAGTTGTGTTTCTTTCCCTTTTACAAGAGAAATTCTAACAACAATAGCAGTACTAAAAGTTATCAGCAATGTGAAAAATCACAAAAATGTTCTCTGTTTCTCCTGTTCTAAGAAGGAATTATGATAGTGCACTTCACTTGGATAAAGGTGTCTTTTGATACAACAACTGTACAGTGCTGGCTGAAAATATCTGAAAAAAAAACCCTGGACAATGTGGCCATGAGTTCCCAAACTGCAGAGGAGAGATCTTCTGGTGTCTGCACGTTTATTTCTAACTCAACACTGGAATATTTGGCAACCTGGAGAAGATAGCAGAGCGCTGCTGTTGCGTTCGTGCTGAAAACCTACGTGAGAATATCTCAGAAATAATAATGGAAGAAGTAATAAAAATAAACTGATAAACAATCTGTTCATGTGGTTCTACTGAAAAGCAAATCTTAGCAAAAGGATTCTGCTTGCCCTTTTTGATGAGGTTACCAGTGAAGCTGACAAAGATCACCGGGAAATTGTTCCAATTCTCAGAAAATACAAATAAAAACACTTGAAAAGCAAATGTTAAACAACTGAAAATTAGCTTTTGGGGACTTCAGTGAGGATGTCTGCTTGTGGGATGTTCAGCCACCATCACCCAATCTGAAAACCTCAATGGCTTTTAGAAATGAACACCAGATTACTGTTAGTAACATTTGCCAATGGCATCAGGATTGAGGGAAATGCGAGTAATGAAGAGACAAAAGGCAGTTATAGAAAGTAGCACTGATTGTTTGGTAACATGCATTCAATCAAAGAAATATATGCAATCAAATGTAAAGTTGCACACGAAAAAACAGGGCAAACACTGGACAAAACTATTTAGTGGTCCTGGTGAATAACAATACGAGCTTTTATTGGATTCTGTGCTCATATTGAAAAAAATGGATATAGCAAATAAGATTAAGAAGCAGATTTGCTTTTCACGTACCCTTTGTTACACGGATACTGGAATGTGATTACCAGTTTGGCTGACCAGTAGTCAAAACTGACATCCATGAATTAGAAATGAACCAGAAAAAGGCTACAGATCTATCTGAGGCCTACAGAATGCACTTCATCATGGCAGGCTTCAAAAGCTCTTTTTTAGATAACTGATTTCCTTCGGGATTAAATAAAAGCTTCTTCAGCAGAGCCTATGACAAACTCCTCAAACAACGACATATTTCCTTCCTCAGTAATCTATGATAATTTCTTTCAGTTCAAAGCCATTGCTTGTCATGTCATTCCTAAGCAAGAAAAAGAGCTACAGTATGTCACAGTACCTGTGTCTCCCTATTACCTACATTTTCACTTCTTCAGGCTCTATTACATATTTTTTCCTTGTTCTAGCATAATTTTGCTGGAATGGGGGAGTCATTTATTACTATAATCATTCTAAAATCTCACCACCTCTTCAACTCATTTTTAAAAATTCTTAAGAAAATTCATAAGCATTAAAAACTGTAAAACATTGTTTTAGCCTGCAATCTGGAAGTGCTTCTAAGATGTAACAAATACGTGGCCCAAATTAACTCTTCTGAATTTTGCTACATTAGGAATATCCTTAAATCTTGACAAGCTTCACTTTCTCAGCTTTTGTATGAATAACGGTATTTCCTAAACAGAAAGAAATAAAGACTAAGAGATGATTTAAAAGATCCTCGTAAATGAGGCTACAAATTGTAAATGATTACTCACAGGTATACCTCTGTGATCCTATTACAAAAAGACTGAGCTTGATGAAAACCATGAAATTTCCATCTTGTTTTCTTCATTTTCTGAATTTCTGGCAGGCAGCAGCTAGACCTTGTGGAGTGAGGTCAAGGAGACTTACTTTGGTTTACAATGACAGAATCACTGAGGTTAGAAGAGATATTCAGGATCATCTAGACCTTCATTCCAGTTCTACAGTGCCTCAGGACCATGGTGTGAAGAAGTGGATGCCCTGTAGTATCAGGGCACCCAGATCCTGCAGGGAGTGCAGAAAGCAAAGCTGTGCCCTTTAGGCATGCAGGTTGGAGCCAGCTCCAGCCAGGGCAGCCAGAGCCCATGGGCCCCTGGGCAGCAGCCCAGGGAGAAAGGAACAGGCTGGAGAGACAAGCGGCACCAGAATGCCTTTTACAAATGGTACCTGGGCTGTTCTTATTAATGATGAACTCTTATTCAATATCATTACTATTACTAACAATTGTCTTATTCTTTACCTTTTCCTATTTTCTACTGTCTTGCTGTATCTCCTACAACCTCAAATGCAAGCTGCAGAAACACTGGTTTACGCCTGCCTTGCGCACACTGCAGTCATGTTCCAGCACTGCTCTAGCCTCTGAGCACAGCTGGATTAACAGTAACAATGCTAGAGAGACACAGGAAGAAACAGCTGAGAGGTATTTCCAGGTAATGTATTCACAATATTCTTCCATACTCCAGCTAGGGAAGGATTAAGACAGCAGAGACAAAACAAAAGCAATTCCAGATCTCTTTTAGCTGAGCATTCTGATCACGCTTTTTAAAGCATTAGCTGAGGAGCCATCTGAAGCACTGCAGTACATCTCAGGACAAGAAGGATGCAAAGAAGAGAACAAGCTGCTAGGGCAGGGTTTATGATGATGAGTCAAGCAAATTAATAGTGAATTACAGAAGAGCTGGGTCTACATGCAGGCAGGTGTGACAACGGATGTACTGGGCCATGGTGTCGCAGAGGCCATTGCTGCTAATCATAATAATTATAGCTGCTATATCACTACTAATCCTGGCACCTAAAATATAAGGCATGCTGAGTAAAATGCTAAAGAATCAGGTAAGCGCAACAAAGGTTACTCTAGTTCTGGAAAGCAATTATTACAAGCAATACAGACACTGAACTAAGCTAACCCATGTAAAGTAAATATCTGTGGCAATTACTACAATGAAATGGACAAACTCAGTGAATAACTGGAAGTTTCTGAAGATATAAACAGTAACACATGGATACATGATGAATTCCATTCATATATTTTGAAACAAAAATATTTTCCAGTATTTCTTTTTAAAAGGTAAGGAGGTGAAATTTGACAGACTGAACAGACAGGTGAATGGAAGATACAACCTTAACATGAAAAGGAATTATATTTATGAATAAATTTTTATTTGACAAAATGAGACCTGCTGAATATTTTATAGAATCCTAAATGAAAATGATAATCCAGGTAATTCTTCTAATTTTCCAGGTAGGAAAACTCTTTCTTCATTAACTGATGTCAGCTCGCTATGAACTGTGACAGTTATCAGACTAATTTCATTCTCTAAAAAGCCGTGTCAAAAGCCAGGCACTTAACACTACATTTTGAAGGACAATTTTATCCATCTCCAATTCAGACTGCTAGTGATTTGTTACATTGAGATTACAGTATCTTTAAGCAGTATATACTTCATTTTCCCCACCGGTAAACAGAACCACAGCATTACCTCCTCACAGAGCTGCAAGAATTCTGTAATTTATGACTAGATCTAAAGACATATTAATTGCCAAATAATTAATAAACCATTACAACAATTTTAAACAACTCAATCTACATTCTTAATCATCCATAAATGTTTGGGATTTTCCTAATAATGGGAAAATGACTGGTGAAAACACATAGTTATTTTGTTCCGTTTTGGCTTTTATTGACTGACAGAATGCCATCTGTTGCTAAAACAGAAGATATTTGCTTACAGCTTCACTTAGATGCTGAAATAGATATGGAAGTTGTTGTCTGGAGCTGGAAAACAGATTCACAGTCAACAGCATTAATGCTCTGAAGAGCTTCCTGAATTTCTTTTAATTAGTTCAAAAAATACGCTCTCGTATAAATATCCTCTCTTCGACATTCACAATGAAAGGTCATTATTCAAGCAAGAATATTTTTTAATAGTAAGTGAAGCCCTTACATGTTAACTGAAATAGCTCATCCCTCATCTGTGCGAGTAACCAAAACATCCATAATCTCTATTTTCAGATTAAATGAAATAGCTGTCTGCAATGTGCATCATATGTACAGGAATGGTGGGTTCAGATTTAAAGGAAAATGAGATTTATTCCAGTGCAAGGTAAATTCAGTGGCTAGGCAGACTGTGCTGTCTTTGAAATTATACTGAAGGGTGTATATTTACAGCAGAAAACATGAGCTATTATTTTAACAATGTGAGTTTATACTTGGTCTCATTGGTGAATGGTTTGCATGAAATTATTTACTGCTTTCAGGCAGTCTAAAATCATGATCCTCGGACGCTAGACACTGCATATAAAAAGCAAGGACATTTACTCAATTAGATAAAACCTGATGAAAAGAAAAAGGAAGTCTGATTATCTCAAGTTCACAGACACAGAACCGAAGCTGAGGAGATGAAGCTGTTACAGCAGCCTATGCAGAAACGGGAACCAAACCCAAATCTCCTAAGTCACCAATTTAGTGACTGAATCACAGAGCATCTTTTCTGTAGGTAAGTAAAGAATTACTAGCTTATTAAGGAATAAAACAATGACCCAGTTCTGCTCTCCTTTACATTTTTGCAACTCTGCTGCAACCATCACCGTCACAGGAGGACGAGGCAGGCTGTCTCCAAGCCTGTACGTGGGTATCCATCATTGCAGTACATGATGCAAAACTTCCACAAAACAGTGATTTTTGCAGCCGGAATTTTCTTTGTCTTATAAAGCAGCACATGCTATCAGAATACAGAAGGAGCTCCAACAGCAGCTGCTGTTGAAGATAAACGACTAGAAGCAGCAAGTTTTCATGAACACGAGCTAAGTCAATATTAAGAACTCTACAAAAATTACGTGTCTGATTAAAAGCATCAGTTTTAAGGGCTGACACTGTAAAGACAGGTGGACCTTGAAGATAACAAACTGGCCTGATCCCTTTGCTACATGCATCTCAGACAAGCCAAAATTTGAACGACCGTGAGAAGAGTAAATCAGCTCATTTTTCCTTTTCAAATATACGCATACATACCTATGTCACCCTTATGTATGTGTACACACATATACATACACGTATACAGATATAAATATATACATAAAAAAAACAAAAACAATATTTAAAAAACATCTTATATTCCTCCCCTAGGAAATATTGGGGCTTAAACGGTAAGCTTTAGAAGAGAGAACAGATTTTTGGTTTTTTGTGATTATGAACTAAGTATAGGTACTTATTTCTGAACACCAACAGCTCAGGTAACTGTTCTTCTGGTACTTACCATGGTTTATCCCTCGAAACTTTTGAAGGAAAGACTGTGTGCTGTTTGCTACTGGAGGTAAGTAGATTGTCTTTGGGCGTTTTGAATGGCTTTGAGTTGCTGCTGACAGGGTTATGGCCGCTGATACAGGATTTCGGTTTCATCTGCACTAGGGATGTCCTGGAATTGCAAGCTGGAGAAGCTGGAGAAGGGGAAGGTTTGCACATTGAACCGTGTCTTCGTTCTGTAATGGAAAAATAATGAACTTTAGAGCATTTCATAGGCTAAAAGAAAAACTAAAGGTCAGGGAAGAGGAAATTTTTCCTCTCTGTTATAGTTGAAAAGGGTGGACGTCACAGGGAGTGGTGTGGTCTACAGCGGGCATGGGTTGACAGTTGGACCACATGATCCTAGTGGTCTTTCCAACCTTAACAATTCTGATTCCGAACAGGATGGTAACAGACCAAGAACTTCGCCAACACATAGCAAACTGTTCAGCTCTAAAGCTTCCTGCACTGAAAGCGGCTGGCTGGGTGCTGATCTCTGGGCCTGCCCAGCATCACACCGTCAGCCAGGAGCAGCATAAGGCGGCAATGGCAGCCTGCTGCTCCAAGGACAAGTGCTATATCCACACCACAAACTGCATGCTCCCTGATTTGACATTTTAAGGAGAACTACGAAAAATTTTCCCACGGAGAATCAAAACACGGCAATTTGTCTGGCATCTCCGTGGGTAAAAACATGCTGGGAGAATAGGGATTCATCCATGACTGATTTGTAATAGGTGAACACCTAAAGAATGAAGAGAAATGCTTAAAATACATATGAAGAATATTTTCAACTGTTCTTTTTACATCTCTAGTGACTAAATAAAGGTGTTTTCCATTAAAGACTAGGCACTTCCATACCACTGTATCCAAGCTTCAACTACAATTGCAGAAATTCACTCAAGATTCTCCCATAATTGAAGACCCAAACATTCTTACTCATTTTTAACACAAAAAGCAGCTTCTTTCACCCCCAAAGGCTGGTTTCCACCCTGCCACAGGCCTCAGCACACAGACTCTACCTCCAGAAGTCTTTTGCTGGATGCAATTAATATACACTCATTTTACGACTCATTTGTGTAATGCTCACAGAAGCTATGCATTTGCCTCTGAAATGTGGAGTTTAATTCATTGAATGTTTGTTTAGTTAAGTAATAGCTATTGTTTTAACAATTACCAACCTTCCCAGCAACTATTTAATCAACTGAAACTAGCTTAATAAAAATGTGTGATTTTACCATTAATTACTTGAGGGCTGATGAAAAAGCAACTGCTCCTTAACCAATAAAACCAAGCCACGTTTAAAGTGAAACTTGGAACAAACATGCTTCTCACATACAAATCATGCAAATTCAGGATAAACCACTCAGATCTTTGCCTTAGGTCCTGGTGTTCTCCAGATCGACTCTCCTCTGGTAAGCCATATGTTTGATGCTGTCCCCAAGAATATATTTGGAAGTGAAGTGCACTACTGCGTTATTAAAATTAATCTTCTGGAAACACAGACGTTCAAGACACGGGCCATCTAAAACTATATTTTAAAGTCATCTAAGTATCACATGCCATAGCAGGGTATTTTTTACGATTCACCTTACACTGGATTTTTGATCAAGCTAAACCAAGACAACTTTTTCATTAATTCCTGAGAGCAAAACAACGCATTGACTTTGGTGGCTTTTCTTTTTTCCACATAACATACAAAATGATAGGAGGAGCACAGCAGTAACATGGTATTACAATAACACATACCCCCCTCTTTAAAATAAATGTTTACCCAGAAGATAGGGAAGGAAAAGATCACAAGATTATTTATTTTATCTCTATGTGTCAGATCGGAGGTCAGTTTTGCAATCAGAACTGACTGCTGCACTTGGCATTTCCTTTCATCTCCAAACTGCCCAATACATAGCTACAGAAAGTCCTGCATACTTCTGACACTTATCTGAACACTACCAATGTTACTCAGCTTCTCTTGAAACCTCCTAAGTATAGAATGGAAATCGCAACCACTACAAAGTTGTACAGAAGGAAGAACGTGAACAGTAGGTGCTGCACGGTCCTGGATGGCATCAGGCCCTGCTGCAGCAGGGAAAATCAACGTGTTTGCTCACGTGAGGTAACATCACTGCAGCAGGAGCAGGAGCTGATGGCAGAAGCACCTTCGCAGAGCTGCAAGGAGAACTGCTCCTGGGTGGGCACAAAGAGCAGCAGGGCAGGACCTGGAGCAGGAGGCCGGACAGCAAAGGTGGGAAATCACACCGACAAAGCCACACTGGGGAGGGGGTGGCGAGCATAAATCGTAACTAACTATTGCTGTATTCCTCTGCACAAGCTATCGTGTTTGGCACTTATTTCTCTTTTTCTTTCTGTGTGTGCAGGGTGGCTGCGTTTCCCTATCAAAATAAACTTCCTGGTCACACCGCCTCCTTACAAAATTCTGCTAATTTGCCTATTAACATTTTACTTGTTATGTTATTGGTCTGCTGTCATCCACCCTATTTAATAAATGTGAACATAAGACATTTACAGATCAGATGGCCATTACAAAACAAGATATTCCTATACTGGCATATCCGGCATGTAACTGCCCAGCTACATAAGAACCTGGACACCCCTCTGCAGTTGATGCACAGACAAATGGCACGCAGTGGGGCAGCTGAGCTCATGCACACACAGCTGTGGCCATAGCTGTCCCCGCTTGTATGAGCAAACAGCACAGTCACTGGCTAGACATGAACCCAGAGCAGATTGAAAGTTTCTGCCCCACAAAAAGAGAAGTGTGAGACAAGTGGAAATCCAGTTACCACTCACAAAGTAACAGCCTAAACTTTACTGCTGTTCCCACTGCTTCAGAAGCATGCAATGTTATGAATGTGCACTCATTTAAAACATGAGAGAACTTTCTGAATACATCCGAATAGATGCTCACTCCACAAAAATAACAACGCATTTTCTGTTTTTCTTCCCCAAATTGCTGTTGCCGTCAACTCCAAGAACAGAGAGGGCGTGATCAAAGTTCCAGTCCTCTGCCCCACGCTAATCCTCCTGCAACCTCTCAGCTGTCTCAGTGCAGCCCCTGTGGCAACTGACGAGCAACATGTGACTGCTGCTGTCAAACAGTTAATGTATTAATGACACGAACCTCGGAGAGAAGTTTAGCATGCTCGCACTGAATTCACTGCGCTTCCTGAAGAATCTATTTCAGATCAGTGTTTTTGTTTCTTTCTCTTTCAGAGTCAAGAAGCTCAACACTACATACTGTTCTAACGCGCATTTCAAGCATTGGTAGCATTGCATACGATCTTAAACTTTTCCAGGAGATTCTCCATGTCCTACGGAAACATGGATAGCATCCAACTTTCTCAGCCAAATCAGAATTGTTGTTGCTAGATGTGAAGTCCTTATGTTGTCAGAGACTTAACAGTCCCCCAGCCTCCAGGGCTTCTCTCCCTCGTGTTCCCTTTCTCCTCTTCCCTGCCGTGTCCCACACGATGCAGCCCCCTACCTGTTCCCAACCTCAGCTGCAGCTGCCCAAGTCCTCTACGTCTGGCTCTGAATCTTTAACTCCACGTATCCTCTGTAACTGGCCACAGGGGAATACTAGCAGCTGTTTTGCAGGAAACGCTGCATCTCCTAATCAAACGCGAAAAAGCAAAGCAATAGAAAAGCAACACAACCTCCAGATCCACAGTGTGTGGGAAAAGGGGTAAAAGCACATTCTGAAGTTGAATGTGCTTCTCTAGTTTTCACCTTGGCTCTCACATCAGATCAAATGCCCGCTTAGCTCATAGCAAGCCCTGTAACACCTCAGCACTAAACACACTGCCAGTACTTCATGCCAACCATGTGCTGATAGGCGGACTGCAGTCATTTTGCACCCAGAAAAGACCTTTACATGATACTGAAACCACAGACCTCTCTCGCCTGGACTACACACCAACACCGCATGCAGTACATTCCATCTGCATCCCTTCTTACCCCGCCTGCTCTACTTAAAATTCACCCAATCGAGGGAACAGCTTTTGCTCACAGTTAGCATCCCCTCCGCTGGCAAGACTTAGAAGGCTGCACAGGAAGGAGTCACGGGACAGCTGGGGCGCAGGAAGATGTGCCTTTGGTCTTTCAGTACAGTTTGCGGGTAATTTGAACAAAAAATCCCTCTAACTTTGTTGGAAGAGACGTGCCAGATCTTTGTCAGCAGCAGTCATTGTGAAATACAGCTCTCGCTGAACACAGCCCTGCTTCCCACACGCAGCAGGCCCGGAGCAAAGCTGGGCCACGAGGAACTCCGTGAGCGACGTGAGGGACCGCGGCTCGGGCCCACGTTTGGAAAACACAAGCAAGACACAACTACTGAAACCCAGACATGTAAGAATGTTATTTGCTGTTAATAAACAGAAACGGTGTAACACCATTCCTTTCAAACTTAGGATCACCACAACACTCACGTTTATAGCTCCTTTATTTAAAACAGCATAAACTAAACAGACCTCCCGTACATGATATGAATATCGCTTATGGTTCCCTGCATACAACACTTAAGCAGACGTTAATGCAATTTAGTATCTCATCCACAAGTGACTCCGTTTCACAACAGAGCCTGGCGTTGTTATGAGCCCGTTACTTATGGTAACGCCATCCAACACCTATGTACCAATTACAGGTTTTCTATTTACAGTATATCCCGAGGTGTTTTGTTACACCGTGCGGAGTTGAGCAACGCATACTCACAATTTCAGCAAACAGTAAAGGGAAACCTTCCACCTGGTACTTCTCCCAGTTCAAAGTTTAAACATGCACTCGGCGCTAATTCTAATCAAACCAAACCAGGAAGAAAACGGCACATGCCTGAGAAGCGAGAGCCAGCGCACAGCACGCCCAACGAGCCGCCTGCTTGCAGAAATGTGTCATCCTGCAGCAACTGGCAGCTGCTTCGTAACAAGAGTTCATAAACACCTTGTAAGCACTTTCATTTTGCAACCGCGGTCTAAAAAAAAAACACAAAAAAACACAAAACAAAAACCAACAACCTAACAAAAGGCAGGACGTGCAGCTCGCTAAAAATAAACACAGGCTCGGTGCAAACCAACTGCAGCATAACGTCGTGAGAGCGAAGGACAACTTTACCAGCTTTGTGGGCACAACGCTGCCCGGAGCGCTGCTGAACCAGTGAGGAAACGGTGCCCGCGAGGCGCTC